AGAGATGAACTGATAACATTCATTACAACCCAGAATCAGGGAGGGCAAGAAGAGTTTCTCGGTGCGGTTCACATCAACCCTGACCTGCAGTGCTCCAACTATTGTAATCGTTGACCTTTGAAGAGTAGCTGTTGGTAAAAACAAGCTTTCCCCCCCCCAAGTTTTCTTTTTTTATCTGACCCAAGGACTGCAGGGACAAGCAAATTCATTTTAAACGTGTGATGTGAGGTAATCAGTAATGGCAAAGCACTCACATTCTCTGTTCTTCAGTATTGCCCATTCACCCATAACTGCAATTAACACTAGTGAGATATTAGTGCTGGAGGAAATGAGACCCTTCACTCTCTGTTGACCAGTGTCTCAGCATATCTTTTAATCAGGGGTTGCTTCTTCTCCAAATAGCAGGACAGGGAGAAACCCACAGGGTAGGTCAAAGGGGTGAAGATGAAGGCTTGAGATTTGCACTGACTAGTAAGTGAAATGGACAGATGAACTCATTTGATAATGGTCTTTTGCCTTATATTCTTTCATACATGAAGGAAAACAGTTGAGTAATTTCTTTGTTCATACACTCATTTAAATAAGCACAAATCCAGGGCTGACCAACTCCAGAGAAGTCAGCCAAAGATGGTCACTTGTGTGTGAGACAGGGCTGAAATGGATGTTGTTTGGCAAGACCTTGTACTTGCCAAAGGCTGCAAAACCTGAGAGTGCTGTGTTTGAGTTACATGTGAGCTGGAGATGCGACTTCATGTTGTGCATTAGAGGAACAAAAAGTTCAGATAGTGTGGGATTTAGTGAGTGTGAGTCTTTATCAGAGTGGGCTGATGTATTAGAAAACAAATATTTTCTGTTTTGAAAGTTTCTACAAAGAATTGAAAGAAAAACTGTTTTTGTTTGAGTTTTGGATACGTTCAGTGACATTTCTTTTCAGATCAGATTAATGCTAGTTTGTGGCTCTGCTTGGGCCGTTGCACATTCTGAGGTATTTCAAAGTGAAGAGGGGTTATTGCTTGCCTTGGATTCCCAGCAGTTCTTGCTTTGGGTTATTAAAGCAGTGCAACTGATGTCATCTACCTGGACTTTTGCAACACTTCTGATGTGATTCCACACCTCATCCTTGTCTCTAAATGGGGAAGAGAGGGATTTGCAGGTTGGGCTATTCAGTGGATTAAGAATTGGTTGGATGGTCACAGCCAGAGGGTTGTGCTCAATGACTCTATGTCCAGGTGGAGGCCAGTGGTGATGGGTTTCCCCCATGGGTCTATTTTAGGACTGGTGCTCTTAAACATCTTTATCAGCGGCCTGGATAGTTGGAGTGAGTACACTTTCAGCAGGTTTGCTGATGACACCAAGCTGAGTGGTGCAGTTAATACAAAGGAAGAAAAAGATGCCATGCAGAGGAACCTGGACAGGCTTGAAAAATGGGTTCACACAAACCTAATGAGATTCCATATGGCCAAGTGTGAGGTCATGTTCTTGGGTGGAGGCATTCCCAGATGTATATACAGACTGGAAGAAGAACTCATTGAAAGCAGCCCTATGGAGAAGGAGTTGGGCGATCGAGTAGCTGAAAAGCTTGATACGAGCTAACAGTATACACTTGTGGCCTGAAAGGCCAACAGCATCCTGGTCTGCATCAAAAGGGGAATGGCAGCAGAATGAGAAAGGAGATTGTCCCCCTCTACTCTGCCGGCCCTTGTGAGGCACCATCTGGAGAACTATGTCCAGGCCTGGGATCCCCAGTATAGGAAGGATGTGGAGCTGTTGGAGCAGGTCCAGAGGAAGGCTATGAAAATGCGAAGAGGACTAAAGCACCTCTGCTATAAAGAAAGGCTGAGGGAGCTGTGCTTGATCAACCTGGAGAAGGCTCTGGGGAGACCTCGTTGCAGCCTTTCAGTACTTGGAGGGAGCTTATAACCAGGAGGGAGGCTGACTTTACATGAGCAGATAGTGATAGGACAAGGGGGAATGCTTTTAAACTAAAAGAGAGGAGATTTAGGTTAGATGTGAGGGGGAAATTTTTCACTCAGAGGGTGGTAAGGTGCTGGCACAGTCTGCTCAGTGTGTGGATACCCCATCCCTAAAGGCTTATGGGACTATGCTGGATTGCAGCCTGGGCAAACTGAACTAGTGTCTGGTTTAGCAGTTGGAAACCCTGCCCCCACAGCAGGGGGTTTGATGATTTTCATGGCTCCTTCCAACCCCAGCTATTCTATGGTTCTGTAATTTATATTTCTCTCCTATGTTGCCTTCCCTCAGCTTCTGGTGGAGGGTCTCCTTGCAGATTCGTTTTCAAGGAGAATCTTGAGACTTCTATTCATAGCAAGATCTAAGTGTTCTTTGTGAAGAAACTCTGATTTTTTCAACCAGATTCAAGATTAAGGCCAACGTCAAAATATTGGACTTTCTCACTGGGATTTCAGCAGCCTTTGCTTCCAGAGATCTTCCATAAATCTGGAGACACATTTTGCTGTCAGATTCAGTCAAGCTCAGGTACTGTCTTGGAGAGATGAGAATATGACAAATTAGAAATGGAGGCAAGTGGGAGACTGAGATAGAAGGGCCAATGGAAAGGCTCCCCTGGGACTGTATGGGACTTCCTTTAGATCATTCTGGGCAAAGGGATTTTATTCAGAGAGGACAGGGTGATATTTGTCATGCAGCTTATTACTTTTATTTCCTCTTCCCACTCATAAACTTTGTTTATTAATTTCTTTTATTATATCCAGAGCATCTGGATTGTTTTGGTTTTAACAAAATAAAGTTAGAGATGATATCTGTACAGGAGATGATTATTAAGAAGGTAAGAGGATGCTGTCACAGAAAAGGAAGAAGGTGGAGGAAAGTAGAAAGAGAATGGGAAAAAAAGAAATAATTACAATAAAAAAAAGATTGAGAATAGGGGAAGTTGGTGAGTTGCTTCTTAAAAAGAGACTCGCTTTTCTCTTATGGAAAGAAGAAAATTGCAGATTGAAGTGGCCAACTTTTTCCTCCCTATGTGCTTGAGCCTCGATTGCTCCTGTGTCTGACCCTGGGTTCTCAGCTAATGTTGAACACTCTCTCTGGTGACATTTTAGGAAGAGTTACTGAATTAAAAAATAATAATAGTAATCTCCTTGAGGATATATCAGACCTGGTTCATCCAGTTAGACATGGAAGTTTTTCTCTCAAGGTGCCATGTCTCTCTTCCTCTACTGTTCTGTGAGTCCACATTACCAGCCCAGCTTGCCTTATTTTCAGACTGCTAATTTTTTTGTGTCTGAAGTCAAACCTGCTTTAGAAGTCGTATTTCTTTCACAGAGGTCACAACTATGACAAACTTTAAGTTTGCACTGCATGGGACCATATAGCTTAATTAATAGAGTTGGCTGATGCAAGATCTCAAGGGTCTCACTCCCGCTGGATGTGCGTTATAATGCTGTAATAATTTAAGCGTATTTGAAATCTACAGAAGAGGAGGAGGAGGGTATGGAGCACAGCTGTCAAAAAGTAAATTCAGCTCATTAACAAATGTGATCGGATGGCTTGAATGATTTATCAGTTGATGTGAAATAGGAGACGGTGCAAGAATGCAGCTAACTTGAAGCAGACAAAAGGATGAGTTTTGGCATAACCGGTGCTGCTGTAAAGTGCTGGAACCAGATACTTGAAAGTTAAGCAGCAGATAATGCCATTGAAAAAAATAGGGAGTTGACTTGGATCTGCAAAACTTCATTTTTGTGTTTGGAGCTTTTTCCTCCGCTGTTCTAGACCATCCGACACTCCCTCCAGCTCCTACAGCATTTCCTGGCACTGTCTCTGTAACCTGGGTTGGAGGAGCTTATCTGAAGCTCTCCATGGGGAATGGAAATAGTACATATAGTGCAAGTTCCTTGGCTCACCACTGACTCTGACAACAACCACAGCAACAACAAGAAGCTGGACTTATTTTTACAGCTTGGCAGTGCAGCAGCCTTGGGAAGAAAACACTTCTGAAATTACATTTTCATTAAAATTTGAGAAAACATTAGAGGAGGAGCAAAAGGAGACATATTTAATGGTACATTAAGAGGCCTATTTTCAGCTAAGCAGAGGTGTGCTTGGGAATAAAATATGCCCTTGGACAAATGAAGAATGCAACAAGCTCAAACTGAACCCACAATTGAATTCCATATCCACAAAAGTTAGCGAATCATGCCAACAAAGAGAAGAGGGCAGCCTTTGAAGTAAGAATCGGAATACATTTCCATTTCATCTATAACATCTCAGCAAATAAGTCATAACTTTTTAGCTTCTACTCATGTAGAAATCTTTTAAATCATTTTGTATCTTTTATATCTTTCTTAGGATAATGGGAGGTTCTGTATTAAGGAGTAATACCATACTGACTCACTGGTTAGGTATTATTGACAGACTAATTATCCTAGATGATAAGAATAGTTCCAACACTTGCAATAATAAGAAGAAAAAACGAACAAATTAACGTTTATTAAGTGCATTTGAAAAATAATTGTTATTCATCACTTCCTGAGGTTAGTGCTGCATTAATTATGTCTGCCTAGCTCATTTGCTCAGTCACACCTAATGAAGACAGCCGCTTCTGGAAACAAAAACTACTCTGTTGAGAAGACTAAAACTATAGGAGGAAGTCTGAAATTCATTCATTAAATTCTGCTGCCCAAACTTGTTCTAAAGTGTGTTTGTTAAGCTAAAGGAGGAGATTCCTCCTTTACTTCAGATTTGCAGAGCTTTAAATGAGAGCTGACTGCGAGATGTAGGTTTTCAGGATTTATTTTATGTGGTGGAACAGCTTGGTTCTGCACAAAACCAAAGTTGGCTGGTTCCCACATTCCTGATGATGACGTGCAAGAAGGAGTTTAGCACGTCGGCTGTTGATTTGTCAATAGCTTAATTCTCCATGACAACCTCCCCAGAGGAGTGAGAAAAGTCAATAGCACAAAGTTCACATCACCTTAGATAGCTTATGGGAAGCAAAACACAATAAAGAAGATAGAGGCCATAAACTGTGATAGGCAGTGATTAACCCATCAAACTGGAGAAATATAAAGAATCATTAAAGTGACAAAATACGGTGAGTCATTTGGTGCTGATCTAATTAAATAATATTCCAATGTAAATCAGTGAGTTATAATCTGAGAGCCAGGGGAAAAAAAGAGCATTTGGTCTAGCAGATGATTTCTGAAAAGGCCCTGTGATTATGTTCCTCTGCTTGGTATCACTGTCATCTACCTATGCCTCACTTTTGTGAATTTGGTTTGGGTCGGGATGAGCTTGAGCCAGAACCACTTAAAGGCTGTGGAATGAACCTGAATAATTTCAGTCTGCTTTTTGGCACAGTATGACACAGGCGTGATGATCAGTTTGGCAGAATGGAGTTTTTTTTTCCAGCTGGGGAGAAAGATTATTTTTTACCCTGAATGTGTGATCAAGTTTCATTATTGTTTTAGGGTAGATTTCTTTTTTATTTCGAATGGCACCAGAGATAGCTGCTGTAAGAACATGGATGCTTAGATTTTGCTTTGTAAGAACTTAAAATGAGAAGAGTGATGGAGATTTACGATCTGTATATTTTCTCCCAGGCTCTGGGGCTATGAAATTCTTTCTTTAATGGGAAAATCAGGGACTTTTTATTTATTAATTCATTTATTTTGCCATGCCATCTTTAGTATTACTTCAGGTTTATAATGTGGAAGCAGAATTGATTGATTTGGGTTTAGCTTCCATTTCGTCTGCGTGCTTCAAGTCTGAGGATGAAAGTTCTTGGGCATTTTCTAATTCTTATGTTGATTTTCAGTAAAAAGTTAACGTTTGTGAACTTATTTCTTTGGAAGAAGTGGAAAAGAAGCAGATGATACAGAAATTTATTTCCTGCTTATTTGTTGCTACTTTTGCTGTTTTTCCTTTATTTCTGTCAAATCTCATGCGTGGTGCTGCTGTGTTAGCTCCCTGCAAGTCAAGCTGCTTATGAACAACAGCATGGAATTAGGCTATTCTAGCTTTAATTCATGCAGAGAGCCAGCACTTCTGTTGTTACTGGTTGCAGTGTTTGCACAGAGGCCAGGTTTTGTTACAGAACCACGAAACAGGGTCAAGAAGAATGATGACCAGCTCTTAAGGATGTTTTCTAGTGTCCTGCTTTAATGCAGTTGGCCATATTGTTCACAGTGTGTGGTATAGTTTCACATGAGTTCATGTCACTATGTTGTTCTCACCAATTTATTATTCATCTGCCCTGGCTAAAATATTTATGGGCTGTAAGGTCTGTTTCTTCCCAAGCACCTGTAGTGCTTATACACAACAGTAACATGGGCATCTGTCACAGCAGGCATATTTGGGGGATTTGGCTGCTGTTCCACCATCAATGACCCAAAAGGCTCCTAAATGACCTAATTATGAAAAGATGCTGACCAGTAGCACATTTACATCGCTTGGTAACAGCATTATTTTCAGCATAACTCTTTCACTTATGATGCTACTGATCAATTAACCATGCCAGTGTCTGCTGTAATGCATGTCGGGTCTCCATCAAATAACCCTCTCTTATCCATTAGTAATTGTTGGCCGTGGCCTTCGTCAAAAAGAGTGAGCTGAAAGTAAATGTTCAGGTGGTATTATTTGACTAATGTACCACTTGAATCTGACCTCTTCTTCATTGTGCAGCATGGGCTGATAAGGAGTCTTTCAGAGGCTTTGCTCCTTTCTAGAGAAACATAATCTCTTTCATTAAAGTCTGAGTTATTTAATCACATCCTTTTCAATGAGGCCAGCTTTTCCAGCAGTCCAGGAAAAGAATGCCATTGTGAGATGCTGCTTCAATACCTCCAAACCTTCGTTTTCTTTTTTCTTGGTTCAGTTTCTGTGAAAAGTCCTTGCAATTTTATTTTTGCTGTTTTCAAAGTAGTTTTTCATTCAGTTAAGCTTTCCCTCTATCACTTTCTGTGTGTCTTTCAGCTATTGTCCCTCTTGCTCTTCCCTACTGATGATGCCAGTTTTCAGCATTGATAAGACAGTGTTTTATAGGCACTTGAGGGAAATCACAAAAGTTGTGCTGCTCTGCAGGTGGATATGGCTTAAAGTCTTCTTTCTTTATGGACATGAAGGCTCTCACTGCATGTTTCTCTTTGGGTAAATTTTATTTTAGAGTTGGAATTGTAAGTTTTTGCCAGGAGTTCATGATTTTACTTTTACATCGTGTGTAATGGGACATGTTTGCTATTAAAAGTGTTCAATCTGTTCCAAGTGGCTCCAAGCTTTCCCTACTATCACCCGCATTTTTAATTTCTGAATTGCACTTTTTCTTCAAAGAAGTCCATTTTATCCGAGAGCATCTCGCTTTCATCTGGAAATTTCTTTCTCTCTCTCTGGGATTTTCCTCTAGGTGAGGCTGTCTTCTATCTCCAGAGAGACCAGAGAGCACATCCTGAATGTTTGCAGTGTTGTGGCTGTTTTACAATACCTGCTTGTCTCTCCATTCCTGGTGCTGTTTCTTGGCAGAGAATTTTTCTCTATATCCAGTCGAGTGTTAGAAATAGAAAGCCTGTTTCCTGACACGATGAAGCTAAATGGGTTGCAATTAAGCACTCTGGCTTCAAAATACATCATCTGAGCATGAGTTGTCGGTTGCTGCAGAGCTGACATGGCCAGCTATCATCCAGATCAAACACAGTCTTCTTTGTTTGAGGGTACCACGTAGAAAGCAGGTAAAACAGAGATTTTGTTTTCTAAAACACACTTCCCAAAGCATACAAGCTTTATTGGCTGAGTTTATGGCAAGTGAGTTGATGTTGTTATTTGGTGTTTGGGATGCAGAACTTAACTGGTCATGAGTTGATCTCAGCTGGCTTTTACTCCTGTGGACAGCCCCATGGACCCCCTCAGTGCTTCTTACCTTGTAGACTGTGCACATAAAAAGACTTCGACCTCACTGCTGAGTCTCTCCTCCTGGAGAGCCCTGCAGGTGTTTGCTAATTTGGAGATGGATCAGTTTGGGGCTCTAGCATACAGGGAAAGGACAAACCAAAACAGGCTCCAGCCAGCATGAGCATATAGACTTCAGTTCAGCAAACCCCTGAAGGACTGGCTGGACTTTAAGTTGACTCCCAGTAGGACTGCATCACATGCATCAAATGAGACATGTTTTGGGGGCTTTTCTAAATGAGAACCTAAACACTTCAGACTTTGCTTAGTGAATGATGGTGTGTGCAGCATCCCTCTGTCTCTGATGCCAGCCAAGGCACCCTGGAACACAGCTCAACATAAGAAGGACTCATTGTGAGCTTGAAATTGATTCCCAACCTGAAAATGTCAATGACTAACATCAAAACTCTTCATTTTTCTCCTTTTTCCCCTCTGGCCAGTGATAAGACCACAGGCTTGTTAGAGACCTGAGACCAATGAAAATTCGGAGCAGTTGTTCTTTACAGCAGGGCTGCCCATGCTGTTGTGGTGTCAAATTCCAACCCAGACAATTTTCTTCTCTGTAACGGAGAGGGGTTGAGAACCAGAGGGTGATTTAGTGCTGGTGGGAGGGACAGATGCAGGAGAGTAGCAGTTCTGGCTCTAACGCTGCGCAGCCTGTTGTGTAAGATTAATGACTGTGGACTACTCTCTATTTTTCTCTCTCTACAACTGTGAGCAATCTCCTCCAAAATCAGCCTGCTGCTGGCTAGCCAGCAAATAGATAATAAGATCCCTGTGTGTTAAATATGCACAGCTGCACATCTGACATTGCTGATCCATCTGCATGCTGAGATAGCACGTGCCAGCTGCCTTGCTCGGGGTGAACGAGGAAGGGATCCATTAAAGACAGAAAATCTGCAATGGAATCTCGGTCCTCTCCCCCTTGCTGTCTCCATGAGCTGCTCCTCTGGGTTCCTGGAGTTTCTCTCCCCTCCCATACTCCTTTTGGCTGCGGAGCTTTGAAACCACCAGACGGTTTTACTTTATGAGTTGGGCTGCCAGGTGGGCTTTCAACTGAGCTCCTGCAGTCCTGCTTTTCATCTCCCCAAGGTGGCGATTCAGAGGAGCTTGGCCAGTCAAGTGAGTCACAGTGCTCTCCTGCAACCTTCTTTTATTGCCTGCCACTTTCATTTGCTACAAAAGCCTAGCAGCCTTTTACTTGGCTTCCTCCTGTCTGCATCTCCCTTCCCGCACCCTCCAGCCCTCGAATCAGCCAGTTTCTGCTCCATGCTGCAGCTGGGAGAGCAGAAAGCCAGTGTATTCTTGACACGGTTGACTGATACCTGTGCTGGCCATGGAAGTCTGATAGCAGCTGATGAAAGAAAGGGCACTGTCTCTAGCCACAAGTTTCTAAACCAGGAGCTTTCAGCATTGCTTCTGGGTCCTTGTCCAGGCATTGGAGTCAATGTGAGCTGCTCTTGCTCCATGCTCTACTGCATGTCAAGCTTGATGCTGGTGCCAAGGTGGAGGTAATTATGCCATCCTTTGTTCCTTTGCCCTCCTCTTCCTTCTCAGGGTTGCAAGTTTTGGCTATCTAAGGAAGGAAAGGGTGGAGGAGAAACGAGAGAGCCAAGATCACCGTGGGAACCACAGGAGCGTCCAGTGGTGCTCATGGGCCAGTGCCATGCTAAACATTGCTCTGTGGCTGCTGATTCTGTTTGAGCTAGCTCACATCTGGCCATGCTGGATGACAAGAGGAGCACGGTGACACGGTGTCACCCCCAGAGACATTTTCCCAGCATAGTGCCTTTCAGGGTCCTTGCTGGAGGAGGCAGTGGGCATGCGATAGGATGCAGTTATCTACAGGGAATCTTATTTGGCCTTATCCTTAATCTTTTATTTCCACTGAAGTTGTGTACCATGCTTACAAATGAGGACTGTCATCACTGCTCTACTGACAGATGTATAAATCCCTTAAGCCATGATTTTATTATGTAAACTTTCTTGCCACTGGCATCCTGTTAGTACTGTAGTGGGAGGGCTTTCCTCCCCAGGTGTAACTGTGCAAACATTATGGTTACGGCACAAAGTCCAACTTGGTTAGATTCTGTCACATAAATATACACTGAGTTAAATCAAACACAGCTTGCGTCCTGTTGGAAAAGCCCATTT